TAACGGCCAGTTCAACGCTCCCACGGGTGTGGCAGTTGATGTCAACGGTAACATCATAGTAGCAGACTGGGGCAACAGCAGGATACAGGTCAGTACACACAGATGGAGTGTTGGGGAGGAGGGAGGGGTGTTGCTTTGAATTGCTTTGAAATACTGCTATTGTAATCAGGCATCAAACTTTTGTAGCATAGACTCAAACACAAAAACATTTATACCTGTTGCAGAAAAACTCATCTTTAGTAGATTGTTATTATTTGAAGGACTATGATAAAACTACTGCCAGCTTGTTTTCTACTGATTTTATTGTATAATGTGTATTTTTGCATAAATATTTACTGTGATGGTCAATCTTTTCGTCAGGTGTTCGATGGCAGCGGCTCGTTCCTGTCCTACATCAACACATCCGCTGACCCTCTGTACGGCCCACAGGGACTGGCCCTCACTTCTGACGGACACGTTGTTGTCGCTGACTCTGGCAACCACTGCTTCAAAGTGTACCGCTACCTGCAGTAGCAGCAGACCGTGGCAGGATGTAGCAGAAGACTGTGTACAGTGTACATAAACACACATTAGTATGAAGAGACTCTCTGATCCTGCACTCACACTTGTTCTCTCGGAATTTTCTTTGTTCACGTGCCATTTAAATTGTTAATTTTTTTTTTCAGGGGCATTTTGAGGAAGCAAAACACTTTTTTTATTTGAATTATTATTGTGAATAAAGCCAAAGGGTCTGTGGATCTACAGCTGCTGTCACAAGTTACCTTCACCTACATCCACCTGATTTCACTGATTTTAGTTTCATTGAAAATGTTAAGCACTTTTATTTGTTGTTACTGGGGTCGGGGGTTAAACTGGAAAATAAATACAGTAGGTTGCACTTGTACTGGTTGAGCACTCTGTTAAATGAGACAGCCCTTTAATTTGAAAATTAAATTTGATAGCTAGAAAATGTAGCTCCCTGTTAAATACTTTTTCACATGACACCTGCACAGTCAATAAGGAAATAATAATTACTTCCACATAAAAAGTATTTTGAAGCATGATAATATTAGACATTTCTGTGCATGTTGATGTCATCGATTTACAATAAACACCTAAAAACAAAACTGTAGACACATGTTAAAATATGACACTTCAAATTCAAAGACACTTTGTAAGAAAGCAGTAGTTCATGTTAAAATATGACACTTCAAATTCATTAGACTCAAGACACTTTGTAAGAAAGCAGTGGTTTTTTTTTTCAAATTCTGCAAAACTGTGTGAAAACTTGAAATCTTAATGTGAACTCTTTATAATGTTTGTATAATTGGAATTACAAGGCAGGTTGTGAAGAATTCTGGAATAGATCTTGGTGTGTGTATGTGTGCGTGTTTGTGTACGTTTGGCACTTGTTCTGATTAATAAGAACACCTACCAAGAGCAAGTGAAGAAATTATTGACAGGTGTTTGGACAGACTGCAGTGATTGTCTTCAAATCCTAGGAAAACCTGTGGCATTTGGTAACAGCCATGTAGTAGCCAAAGAGCTGAAATCATGCCCTGTCTTATTTAAAAGTACATTTTGTTACATTTTTTTTCTTCCATCCAGTCACTGATTTCTATAGCCAAACAGAAATGGATACTTTTATATTTCCACAGTGACCCTGACAATGCAGTGGGGGTTCAATTCCAGATCATGGATCAGACACGGATCGTTAAAGTGTGACCATCTCCAGTTCACTGCTTTGCTCTACTTCGCCCTTACAGAACCCTGTGAAAGTGCTCCGAAATTATGTAAGAATTCACTGTGCTTCTATGTGTGAATAAAAATTGTTTGTCTATATGCACACAGATTTAGATATCCTCAATGGTCCCATTCATTTTGTACACATTTTTGTTAATTTTTTTTTTTCAATCGTATTGTTTTAGGTGTAATGTTTAATGGAATAAAAGTGTCCATAGAAATGAGCACAGTGTTAGTGGTTGTTTGTAAACATGAGGTGAAAGGATTCAGTTGATGCATATTTTGATGCGAATGTAGCTAATAACTAATATTTACATTAATATTCCCACGTATAGTATAGATAGATAGTAGTATAGATATAGTATATTTACATTAATATTCCCACGTATAGTAGTATAGTACATAATGGATATAATGGTATATCACTACATTTTCTGTAGCAGAGTGGCGCAGCGGAAGCGTGCTGGGCCCATAACCCAGAGGTCGATGGATCGAAACCATCCTCTGCTAGAGAGTCCGAACTGTCGATCTTTTCTAAACTAAAATATGGGAAGTGTTTCAACTGTTTTCACGGTGCGATCTCAATAAAGTTCAGTTAAGGCAATTGTTTTTCATATTGTATATTACAACAGGGGGCGCTGTTAACCTCCAAACCGTTATGATACATTTTGAGGCAGTCGGAAATGGGTTGTGATAATGTAGTTACGACTATGAGACTAGAAAGCTTGCATTTAGTCTTTTATTTTAATCTGTAAAAAATTATATAATCCATAATCAAAGCTGTTTATTAATAAAGAGGGGAGGTGAGTTAATTTTATTAGTTAAATACTATTACATTTCACGAAAATTGGCTTAAAAGGAAGAATTTGAAGTTTACCAGGTGCCATAAAGGCAACATATGCCGTCATATCCTCTCGCGGGAAAATTCAGTCGAGAGTTTTGTTTTTCTGGAAGAATTAAGGCGAAGGACTTTAATCCCACTGACAACATTCGTTTCTGTGAATTTTAGTTGTTCCGCTAGCTTCACCAAATGGTAGGTTTAGGACTGGTATTCACTGGTTTACTGACAAACACACACACACTGTGTGTGTGTTGTTCAAAAAAAAAGTCTGTGTGTGTGTGTGTTGTCACTGTCGCAACAAGGAAATGATCGCCTACAGCAATTCTATGCACTTTACGGCTAAGATTAAGACCGCTTTTCCAACACGAGTTTATACAACTTTACGTTTCTTTTCAAAGCTGTATTACTGGAGAATTGCATTTATTGTGTTTAAGACAGAAACGGCAATGAAACGAATAGAAAGGGTGATAGCTGAAACCGTGGGGGATGAACTATCTTCTTTAATTTAAACACATTTGTTTAATGAGTAAAATTCGTAAAATATAATGCAGTTTTCCAAAGAAAGCTGTTGTAAATGTCAAAATAGCAAGATGATTTTTTTTCTCCTTCGGCTGCTGTAGTGTTGGTAAAAAAAATTCATACTACAACAACAGTGCAATGCCGATCACCTCGAATCAAAAATTAAACTACACTAGTAAAATGTTGATTGTATTAAAAATTGATAGTACGACATGCACTGCAATAACAGTTACATTCACCTATGTGGGCGTGGTCTTAAAACACTGACATTTAAACATAACCATCATTTAACTTAAGTACTGAAGCAAAAATATCGCCTTCCTTCCACTTGTAACATTTAATATACATATATATATATAAAATTTAAACTTTAAAATCGTTTTCTATAATAGTCTTCTATACAGTGTAACATTTTAAGTCACCATTTAACCCCTCTACACTTTGCTTTGCAAAAGGTTAAGATTTTAGCTCTCTGTAAAAATGTGATTCAAAATTCTTATATCTTTAAGTATAATGACGTATTAACTTATTGTTTTAGTCGAAGAAAAAAGGATTGAGTTTGGAGGAGAAGAGAACTCGCATGATGGAGATATTCTTTGAAACGGTGAGTTTTCCACTGGAACATCATGCAACATTTTAATCAGATTGCCTCAGACAATCGCCATGATTAGTGTTGTTTAACACATTTATCAAATGCAGAGTTGTGAGGTATGGGAATAAAATTCACCAAGTGATATTCCATAGTACATAGTACTAATAATGCCTTGCTAATGCCTTTATTTTATACCTTCAGTCTTTGGTTTTACTGTGGCAGCTTTTAGCTCAGTGGTTTGAGGTTCTATCACATGTATTCAAATCATTTTTTTTTACACATGATTAAAAATGTTTCTTTTGTCCCTTTCCAGAAAGATGTGTTTCAGCTCAAAGACATTGAAAAGATCGCCCCCAAGACGAAGGGCATAAGTGAGTACAGACAACAATTGTTTTCAGGAAATGTGTTCTTTGCCTAATGAAATCCTATAGACAGATAGAAATACTTTATAGACCCCAGGCTGGAAAATTACAGGGGAAATCATACTTCCTTTGCCTGAATAAAAAAAAGTGTTTTGCCAAAGGAAAATGTAATGTCCCATAACGTTACATTTGCATATGTGTATTGATCTATTAATAAGACATTTAGCAAGTGTGTTATCAGTTGTAAAAGGTTTGACTTATGTTATGATATGTTATTATAGTAAGTTAAAGCATGTGTGGCTAAAAGTAAATGTTTGTTTTTCTCTCAGTTGTTTCAGAATTATTGCATTTAAATACAAATATTTGTATATGCAAATGTACCTTTGTGGTTATATATGTTAGTAGAATGTGAATTATTGCAAGGTATGAAAGGTACATTATAACTGTGGGCTGACTGAGCTAGGCAAATAAATACACCACAGCAACCAGCAACTGAGTGTCATTAACTTTCTTTAGTTTATTTAGTCAGTAAAAGTAGAACTCTCTACTTAGTGTCAGCCGTGTACGTAGTAAAAGTTAAAACACATTCTCTCAATGTTGACCTGGAGGAGAACATTTTACGATATAGAGTCCACGGTGCTCAACCACGTAGAAGCAGTGTTTATGTAAAAAAAAAACATTGATTGAATGAAACTGGATCTTGTTGCTATGATTAAAAACACATGTTTCTAACTCCTGTACTTGAGAATTACTAAATGATGGGGGAAGGGCTCAAAAGAGAAGTGCATTGTGGGCATCTTTGCTAGTAAAAAAAAAAAGAAGAAGGAATATACTGCATTTGAAAGGGAAAATGACTGATCTCAGCTAAAATCAGCATCAATGCTGAGCAGAAAAGTGGACTGAAAGTGAAAAAGAACAAAACGTCCCAGCGTGCGCTGAGTGCAGCCACCGTTGTCTTACTCTTTGTTTTGTTTTACTTGTTCAACATCCTCTCTGAACATGTTACACTTCTGCTTGTTAGTGCAGCACACAGGCCTTTTTCAGTTTCACAGTGGACTGTCTAGGTCAACATGTGGGAGTATCATGTATCACCGTACACACTGTTCAAGATGTAATTCGTTTCTGTTACATCCTCTCATGCTTTGCCCTTGATGAATAGAAATGGAGCAAATATGCAGCAGATGTGGTGACTTGAGTTGTTTTTTTTTTAGGTTGTTTTTTTTAACATTTGCCTGCTAAACTCTAGCACAGAAACAAATAAATCATACTAGTTTAATCTTTCTTTTTAAAATATTTTATTTGTTTTATCTCCGTATTTGTTTTTATTTATTTTAATAATTTCCTGCCAGATGAAGTTGGTACTGGCTTTTTCTCTTCAATTTGCAAGTAATTTTGTTGTAAAAAAAAAAACAAAACCTGGCTTACACAAATTACAGTACCTCTGCTGGGATGATGATGATGATGATGAAGATGCAAAATCAAGCATACTGTACTGTACCATATTAGGCTAATGCACGTGTGTCTATTCTTTTGTCTGCTGCCTGAAGCTCCAATGAGTGTAAAGGAGGTGCTACAGAGCCTGGTGGATGACAACATGGTGGACTGTGAGAAAGTGGGCACCTCCAACTACTACTGGGCCTTTCCTAGCAAAGCCTTAAACGCTCGCAAGCACAAACTGCAGGAGCTGCAGACACAGGTGAAGTTGGGAAAAATGGTCAATTCTGTAACATCACATCAGAGCGTTAGTCCCATCTGTCAAAGCATGTTGCTTCTAGACTCTACACCAACTATTGAGGAAGCTGAGGCACTTTCTCTGCTTCTGCTGGTCTGTAGTGAGACTTGCCTTTAGTTTCACTTCCTGTTCGTCTGTTCTGCTGGTCCAGTACTATTTTGGCTGCACGCTTAAAATCTGCAGTTCAAATTCTACAGTGCGACATTTTCTCTTTTGTCACATTTTATTTGTCTTCTTTAGGGAAATCTTTTGGTTTAATCAAGTTGGCAAAAGTGTAAACGATTCCCTCTTGTGGACATATGGGGAATATTTTTCATACCTACCAGTAGTTTTTTTTTTTAGTTATTTAGTTATTTCTGAAATATTTAGTTATTTCAGAATATAAGTCACAGAACCGGTCTAATTACTGAAAACAGTGAAATTTATTGTCTGGAAAGCACTTCAATAAAAGTATTGTTTGGAGTTGGCTTTGAGTGAACTGTTAAATGTTTGACACAAAATATTTCTTGTATTTTTGCCAGTCAGAAATGTCAAATGGGGGGTTGGGAAGGAGTCCAGTATAAAGCAATGTATCCCATAAAAGCATTACAGAGATGTAAGATTATTATCATTATTTTAATGTCATATAAAATTAAAGTACAATTACAGCTAGGCAATATAAACTTCACAAAGAAAAAGAAATCCTTAAAACCAAGTCAATAACATCTAAGGGTAATTATGATTAAATAAAAATAAATAGTCTGCCACAATTCTTGTGTAATAATTTATTTAACTTGTATTTCAAAGAGCAGATGTCTGATTGTGTCAGTATTTCATTGCACAATCAGTGACTCAGAGTGAAGAGAGAGAGAAAAAACAGGAACCAAATTTGAATAAGCTGCCGATCACATCCGGAGGAAGATCACATATATATTTTTTTATGCAAACATTAGTCTCGTAAACCTGCTTTTTCAGGCAGAGGAGTCAAAAACGTTTCAGATTTGCAGCCCTTGATGAACAATCTTTGGGTTTGACATAATGTGAGATGACCTACTTCACTGCTCTCTTCATGGCAGATTGTGTGAGGGTGGCAGCTTCAGAGAGAATGCTGGCAACAATAAATGTAGGACACAAGTCAAATGTTTGGAACCTACGATTGCACCTGCTTATATCACATGCATAACAATATACCGTTTAACTGTTCTGACAACTGACAGAGTTATGTTGGGAGTAATCCATTTTCAATTCACTTTACATGGTTGGTTTTACATTACAGCTGAGATGAAATATTTAGATCTGTAAAACGTGTGGACGTTTCTTCTATCACGACTAATTTACAACAATGAAGTGCGACTGTAGAAAACGCTCTCATGTCACGATCTGTTCTCCTGACCATTAAATGTCTGAAATGACCTTTGACATTCTGATGACAGGGTCGTTTGATCCCCTGTGAAATACCAATGTACAACCAGCTTTCTGTAGCACACACTGTACCAATGACTTAAAAAAAAAAAGTAGTTTGTTAATGAAAACACTTGAATATGAACTACTTATCATTTTATCCAAGTGTTTTATTTAATTCTTCTTTTTTTGCTATATGTTATATAGTATATATTCCAAATTATAAGAATGTAGGTTTTAGTTCTCTGATATTTGTTTTGGTATTTTAGGTTTGCAAATAAAAATGGTTCCTTCCTGTCCTGCAGGTAGTGCTATAAATACATTTTAAAGTGTGATTCATGATTTGAATGTGGTGGCACTACTGTTATGCTATTTTAAAAACGATCTTGTCACTTAAACACATCACAGTATTTCCCAAATTGTAAAGTAAAGCAAACGGATGCGAATGTTTCTGCATTTGTGCCTTTAATTATTTTTTTCAGTCCTTTTTTTTTTTTTCTTCAAAAGATTTCTGATGCAAAGCAGCGGAAAGCTAATCTACAAAAGGCGGTGGAAAAGGCCACAATTGGACGCCAAGACACAGTAAGATGCTTCATGTTGCAAACCTATGTTTTTCTTTAAACACACACTGGGGACATTTTGATAAATGTTGCAAAATAAAAATAAGACACACTGTGTCTGTGTCTGTGTCTGCAGGCAGAGAGGAGCTCCTTGTTGAAGGAGCTGGAGGCTCTGAAAGTGGAGCGAACTCAACTGAAGGCCGAGTTGGAGAAGTACAGGGAATGTGATCCAGAAGTTATTGAGGAGATGAGTGAGTACAGACCTGTATTTTCTCAACCACTGACATTCAGAGTGACATTGATATTACCTTTGGAATGTGTTTGTGTAGAAATTCTGGACACTGGACACAATGTTGACTTCAGTTCAGAGATTAAAAATACATTTTATAAACTCTTAGAGTTCTACTGTGATTGTAGCTTATGTTATCTTTTTAAATTCTACATTTTGTTTTCTAAAATGTTTTTCAAAATGCTATATTCTGATGAGAAACAAGGAGAAAAGATACAATTTTCAAACATTTTTTCATCAAAATCAAATGACCAAATATTTGGATTTTGCTGAAAAATTCCACAAAAAAATGTTTTCTAAATTTTTTTTCTATATTTTGGAGAGAAACATACAAAAAGATAATTTTTTTTTTTTTATCAAATTGGTGATATTAATAATGAAAAACTATTTTAGTGGCATTTTGTAATGATTCCATTTTTTAATATACAATTCATGATATACCTGAATTAATTTATACGTACATTGGATACACGCACACACACTGTATACACACGAACATGCAGCAGCTTGCCTAGAGATTTCTACATATTAACTTCACCACACTCATGCACTTTTGTCACCCATGCCCATTTCCCTGCCCTTATGCTGATTGTATCACAGCGGCTCTGTGCAACTTCACAGTGTGACGATATGTTATGTCTTCACCTAGAGGGGTTTAGAGTGAACTTGCGCAACGAACTCGCTCAGACCTGTTCGTACTCATGTCCCTGCAGTCACGGTGATCATTGTTTCAAAGATATCTGCTTTGAGCAAACTTTTTTGTCAAGACACAGCTATTCCAGTTTGACAGAGCTCTGGATTTTCAACATTTGGTCACATGATGTGACCATATTTGTCATTGACAATTGAATAAAATCTAAAAAAATATGCATGTACATCTAGAAGGCTTAAAAGTCGTTTTGTGGCATCCAGTGAGTTGAAGAAGCTCTGCATTTGAGAAACAAAAAAAATCCCTTTTTTGTCTGGAATGATTTGATCTGCACCTGCAGAACACTGGTTTGAATGATTTGATCTGCACCTGCAGAACAATCAACACTGGTCCGATAATATTTAGGTTCATATTTTAGACAGAGAATGCAGATATATTTCTAGTGAGAGAGGAGTGGCTAGGCCTGCTGTGTCTTAATCTTTCCACTGAAATTAGTCAAAAATGCACAGTTCCTGTGTCAAGATATTTAACATCAGGATTGTTAAATATGTTGATTTTTTTTTAAGAGTTACTAGTTGTTTCTCGTCTTTGCAGGAAGCATAAAAACACCTGTCGTAATGCAGTGTAATATCAAGTAACAAACGTGTTGCTTGGCTCTCTCAGCCAAACTAACAACTGCTGTTGTTATGAAACAATGGTGTTTTTTTTTGTTTTTTTAGAAATGATTACTCCTCACAAATGAAAAATCCTGGGTTTCACTGCTTATGAGGCAATACTAAAAGACACGAAGAAGAGGAAGTAAAATGTCTTAGAAAAAAATTGTTGTTTACAAGAGAAATTCCAGTATTTGCAGCCATTTAAAGGTGAAGGAGCTGCAATGATGTTGACATAAATCAAAATTATTTTAATGGAGAGTAATGATAAACCAAAAAGTAATTAAGCCCTGCCCCACCCTTTAGCAAAATGCATTTACCAACGATTAAGTGGCGAGAGGATGATTTGATTGAACTACATTTGTTCCATTATTATGTCTGACAATTGGTACCACACCCTCAGGTAACAGTAAACAGCTCTGGAAACTCGTGCTGTCAAAACCAAAACCAGGGCAGGGCAAAACATGCTCGTGAGAAATATGGTTGTCCTGATACCAATTTTTTTTTTATTTACACACTGATCTGAGTCACAGTATTTTCATTTGGGTACTCTCTGTGTGTACCATTACAATACTTTGTTAGGTTTTCAATAAATATGCAAATTATTTCAAGCCTAAAGAATTTCTGCATTAGAAAATAGATCCATGAAAATAAATACATTTGAAGATTATACATAATTAACCACGTCAGCTGAAGTGATCCAGCTTTTTCACTACTACTTTTTTTCATAAAAAAAAACTGCCTACTGCTGTCCATTAAACAAAGTGTCCCTCAAAATCTGTAGCTCTATTTCCATGTTCCAATAAACAAATTAACACACAGTGTTGGTTCAATAACTCTCAACAAAAACTGACTTGTTGATTAGCGTATTCAGTAGTTTGGTGCATTTCCTTTTTCTTTTCCTGGGGATAAGATAAACTGAGTAACTTTAAATTCAACATTCACACTTCAAGCATCGATAGGTGAACTAACTCTGAGATTACTACTGCTACTACACTACACCAACTGCACGGAGACATATAATTACTACTTAAAACTACTTTAGTCTTAGCTCTTATTGGCTTTGTACCTTTTGATTTTTTATTTTTATTTTTGTAGCGAGCACCTGTTTCGTTAAGCTACCTTAATTGGTACACAAACAGAATTACTAAAGGTTTTGTACGGTGACAACAATACCAGGTATTTGTGGCAGACGTAGACCATTTTAACTGGAGTAGCTGTTAAACTGGTCTAAATACTTCTGTTTAAAGAAACCTTGGTAACTAATGTTGAATTTTGTTACGTACTAATGTCACTGAAATCGTCTGGGTGTTATTAAGAAGACAATTTGACATGGGCTACCACAAACTGGACAACTCTGATATGGCAACTCTTGGTGTAAAACCTCTGCATCTGCCCCAAACGTTTTAGATTTTATAGAAGGTTTCCAGTCACTCTTTGTCTGTGTTGTTTGTTTGTTGTAATGTTTTTGATCACTCAAATGTTTATTTGGCAGGAAACTCAAATGTTGTGGCTAAAGAAGCTGTTTCCAGGTGGACAGGTAAGTGAATATTTTCTCTCCTTACGTCCATCATCGTTTATTCGGTTGGGAGGTAGAGCTCAAACAAATGAACTTTAATCTGTCGCTGTCTTGTTTAGGTTAATAATTGTGATTATAATGTAACATGGACTTGTTTTTATTATTGGTTTGATTCAACAGGTGGAATAGTTTTGTCATGAGCTTGTGATATGATGAGTGTTGATGTACATTTTCATTGTAGTAACTGACACACACACAGTGTAAATCCCAAATACAGTACTTAGAAAGCAGTCATAAGAACCAGAACTATCATGACTTTCAAAAAAAACCTAAGATTATCCAATTTCCTCCTGACAGAATTGTCCAACTGTCCAGTCATTAGCTGCTGTGCACGGTAGTCACTGAGGCTTATTTGCATGATTACTCTTTAAAGCATTGAAATTCAAGCTGTGAGTGCACTTTGTGTTCAGCATGTGACCTCCCTGTAGTCAGCACACAGACACTCTGTGTATTAGTTGACCTGAGTAGTATCCCTGGAGACAGCTGACCTTTGAGATCATGGTAACCAGTTTGGATGTTTGGACTCTTCAGGTCAACAGAGTGACATTACTGGTTTTCTTGCCATAGGAATAAACTCTTTTTTTTTTAAGAAAGTGTGAGTCATTGTTGGGTACCTCCCTGCACTGCATGAACCTTTCTTGGCACCAAGAATACGCAGACATCCGACACAAAATTACATTTCTAGCTGTTGCACTATGTTACAACAGTTAGCATCCGGGTTCACTCTTTTTCCAGGATATTTCAATTTGACTTATTGTATTTTTATGACTAGATTGACTGACACTGTTGCTGCGTTGAAGCCACGTAAGCAAAGACAATTGTCGTATTTAGCAGGTCACGACAAACCCTCTGCTAGAAAGTAACCATCCATGTGTTAAATGGCCTGTGGCTTCAACTGAATTTCCTGTCTGCAGCTGTAACCTGCTGCTGAGACACACCCACACTCATACAAGCCTTAACACAAAACATCACTGAATCATCTGAATTTCTTTTTGATTTCTTTGTCTTTTTTTATATCAAGTAATATGACCTTTCATGAATAATTTAATTTTAATTTACCATGTACACAGTGATCTGTATCAAATATATAAAGTACATTATTAATGCTCTTGGGGAGGGGCTTGAATAATATATGAATACAGATGTTTTTAAATGCATCCAAAAATCTAACATTTCAGTCATTCATATTTATTACAGCTGCTTGTTAAATGTGACAGTTCACGGTCATTTATTGTTATTTCAATTATTTCTGTTGACAGATAATGTATTTGCCCTCAAGTCGTGGACAAAAAAGAAGTTTGCTTTTGATGACAGCCGCATAGATAAAGCGTTTGGGATCCCGGAAGAGTTTGACTACATGGACTGAATGTCATACCGTCTTTGTTTGTCGAAGCAGTAAGAAAGAAAGAAAGAAAGAAGAGTTTCCTTTTGGAGCTTTGTTGCTTGGTTCCTCTAGTTCTACATTTGTTTTTTAATGCATTTAAAATAAATAAATAAATGCACTGTGATGCAACAGTCATAGATGGGCTTTGAAGAAGAATGCATATCTATAAGACAACAGATGGACTTATTGAATGCATATCTATAAGACAACAGATGGAATAAGTCCAGCGCTGATGTGCAACCAAAGAAGAGAGTGAACACACCATTAGTGGCTGTGCAGAGGTCAGAGGTCTCTGTGTTAAACACAACTTAAGAGGCCAGACTTTTTGGACACCTGTTTGCATGGAAACTGAGATCTCGGAGTTGATGATTGAAAGGAATCCACACTGAACCAACATGCTGGACCAGTTATGCAATTTGCATTATACACAGGATACGTACATTAAAATGATGCTAACAAGATTGATTCAGGCAAAACATCTTCCACTAGTCTTGACTGGTGGAATTGACACTCCTTCAGTAGTGTAACCTGAGTGTGTGTTCATGTGCGTACCTGCCCAACTTGTCCTGGCCATGAGTCATGAGATAGGGATGCTGAATGTTGAGGTTTGTGAGCAGGCTTTGCATAGTTTAACCATAATACTTTTAAGAACAATACAAGTTTGTATAATACAGTACACACTGTAAGTTGCATGACGTTTTTACCCTTATTGTTCGTTGGGTTTATTCTAGACCAGGTAGGTGTTCTGTAAGTAAATATTTTCTTAGTCCAACGTCCTTACAATCTGAGTTTGCTGGCAAAAAACATTAGGTTTAACATAATGTGCCAAGCAGCCTAGTGATCACTTTAATAGGTTCAATAGAAAAAGGGAAGGGAAAAGGGAACCACGTGACAAGAAAAATAAAACATGTACAGAGCAATGAAATCCACATTGCATATTGGGATTGGTGTTAGTCCTTATATTTGATGCAATAGATACACTATTTGGAAAATGTTCACCACTCACATGCAAAATGTGCAGTGATATAGCATATGTGCATACACTAAACAAGGTATACAGTATATAGTATGTATATTTAAATATACGTATATTAGTACATTATTATTATCATTTATGATATCCAGTATCCTCCAAGGCTCAAGATCATTTTAGCCCTGCCAACTCACCTTAAGCCACAATCTGATGGTTCTGTTCACTGGTAAACATTTTTATGCAGATATATTCAGATGAGTTGCAAAGATAACAGCATAGATCATATTCAATTTATCGAGTTGCTAAAAAAAATCTCTCGACACTTTCGTTTGTAATGTGTATATTCCTTAAAAAAATAAAATAACTTTGCTTCCTTGTCAACAACTTGTAGTACTTTGTTTAAAAAAAACACCAGCACGTCAGACAACATCACCTCAAATTCCATTCTACTCGTATATGTTTTACATGATGTCTTTTCAGCCCAAGGTCAGTTTGTGTTGAGTTGAGCCACAGACACGTAAACAGCCTTGCTGCAAGTGACAGTGGAGAGTGTGTGCTGTACAATGTGGTGTAGCAGGCGGGGAGGGACAGAGGCAGGAAGGAGGGAGCTGCTGCTGCTGCTGCTGCTGTCTCTGTTGCTGCTGTCTCCGCTTCTGCTCGGCGAGAGAAGAAAGACCAACGCGGGGGCGACACACAAGGTAGGCTGCTAACAAGAGAGGGCAGCATGGCGGGGCTACAGGACTTCCAGCAAGGCAGCCACTGTCACAGGAAAACGTGGATCAATATACTACTAGGACTATTACAATTAATTCTCCCTTGCGTCCAACACGGAGGGGCTCAGCTGCAAGGTTTGTACTCACCTTTTTTTTTTCCATTACGGCAGTTTAACGTAAGAACGAGCATGCAAAGGGAAAAAAAATGTACGAAAAATTAGCTGCGTTGACTTGTCAATATATATGAACGCGGGATTTTTTAAACGTAAAATACGTTATGTGGTCCTCTAGAACATTTTTTTAAGAATTAACCCTGGTTATATTTAATGTTTTTAACAGCCTAGTAGAAGGTTGTAGCTATTTTGTGTCAGAGTGCTAGTTCACGCTAGCTGCCAAGCGCCCTGTATTCAAACTACAATTTTATTAAATGAAGAGAACACACACATACATAACAATAGACCTTATGTGGACATATGTATGTTTGTTATTGTGTTAAAGCTTCGCTTTGTTGAATCTGAGCTCCGTAGCCATGTTTGCTCAAGTAACTGGAGGTGTGTTTTCCAAGTTGGTTAGCTGCAGTGCTAACCTTGGTAATGAAGCAGCAGCACAGAGCCTTTGTCAGGCTGCAGAGACGAACTCATTTCCTCACATGGCTCTGTCATTGTCATCCGCTGTCTCTCACTTTACTGCCATACGCGATTTTCTAATACTTAACACACCAAAAGCCTTTTGCACCATAATCCCCGCGTGGATATTTAAAAAAAAAAGATCGACGTTAATAGCCCTGCACCTCACTATTGTTGTTTATGTCTTTGCTCCCTTAAAGCTCTGAGTCAGATGTCCACCAGCGTGGTCGAAGTGTGGCAGCCAGAAGATGCAGAGCCATTAATTCCCATTCAGGTGAACCGAGCATCTCCGTTTTTATGACTACACCAAACTACACATTTGACTTTTAACAAGACATAAACCACAGAAATGTGCCAAGGTACTATCAAATGTCAGTGTTCTCTAAATGTTCTTATCTTCAGAACTTCTGAGTGAAAAAATTACAACAAGAACAGGTGAAAAAAAATTGGACAACAATGGTTTGCCATGTAACACAGTGTTACATTATTTAAGGATACAAGTTAGGTGGTAATGTGTGAAGAAGAAAATCAGAAAAGCTGTGACCCGTGATTGACCTCTGGGTCAAGGCCAGTTAGAGATGCTTCTCTGTTTTTTTTTAGCCGTTAGCCACCATGTTTAATATCAATATTAATGGCAACTTGTTGTATATGCAGTTCTCCAATTATTTTTGTTACCTATATATTTCTACCCTGTCAGATGTAAGCTGTTTTGGTTTTGTTATTTTTATGTTGCATTTAGCAATTTATTATATCAATTATAACAATTTAACACTAAAACTGTAGTAGGATCATTACATTCCTTCAAGTCATTTATAATTATTTCTTAATGTTTTTTATTACTAAGAAAATATACTGTTTTTTTTGGTGGATTGTAACATCAGATTCCATCGATGTGGATGACCTGTAGGCTTTTGAGGCTAAATGTGTTTTGAATAAAAATTGTTGTGACTTAGGTACTTGGCCACTACGTGTTTACAGAGCAGTATGTGTGACGAGCGCAGTGCAAGCGTGCCGACTTACTTTAGAGTAAACACTGCAGCCAGGTGATACTTGTGTCATCAGAAGTTATTGTCAATGGTTAACTTTGTTGTATGAGCGTTTGATACAGTGACAACTTTGTTGTATGAGCGTTTGATACAGAAGAAGAAGAAGATCGTTTAAAGAGAGTTAACAGCAATATACTTGAAGAGAATACAGTGAGTGCATACCTGTAGTTTTTGCCTTCACTTAAGTCACTTGAGTCTTAATTGAGTCTTGCATTTGTGACAATAACACCCAGTTTCCCTGAGGCCAAAGGATTTGTGTATATGTCTTACATAAAAGCAACGATTAGAAGAATAGAGTACTGTAGTTTGTAGTTGGGCAGCTGGCCTCCTGCCATGTGGCTCCTCCTTGATTTGTTTTGTACTTAGCGTCCATAGTGCAGTGAAAAAGTGCGTTCTCGCACCCTTTCATTTTTCCTTACGTTTTCATTTTTCTATTTACTTTTATTCATGCATGTAGTCAAAAAAGGATTGGTTTCAAATTGTGTGCTAATGATTGGCTTTGAGGAAAGACAAACGTAAACAGCTGGAGGCTAGTGTTCACTGATAAAATGTCATGAGGTCATCAGCTGACTGTCATGATACCTGTGGGGGTGTGGCCATTTCTGCAGTAGTTTGTAACCCAATAGCATTGATAATTAAATAGCCCTCGTTCACTCCAGTAGACGAGCCCACGGAAACCGAGTTAAACATTAGCTATAGTTGTTAAAGTGACAGGGTTCTTGCGTCAGTGTCTGGATATGCTTTTCCCCTCCTCGTCCCTACCTTGCAGATCCATTGGCAGAACTCTAGTAATGTTTAGAAAGGCTGCAGTGAGTAGAATTACTGTCTCAGTTACAACAGCTATGTGAAACTGAGCACGACACAAATGGCTTTTGTTTTCTTTATGACAGCGTTGTTAATGGTCAGCTGTTAAGTGTTGTATGTTGCTGCAGGCACAGTGAACTGGTGCTGCAGTGGAATGAAAGTCGCATGCATCGATGTATGTTTGAGTTAGATTCTGCAGTTTTTCATTCCCGACTATAAACATTATTTCCTTGTTATTTCCTTTATTTTAAATACGGACTCTTGTCCCCATTAATTATAAATACCTTCCTGCATCAATATCTTCAGATCACATTTCAGTGTTGATTATCAATAGCTGTTTTTTCAGCAGTAATGCTGCTGCAAACGCAGGTGTGTTGTCAAAGTCCTGCTTAAATAACTTTCATACCTTTGAAATTATAATGTGACCAAAGTGGTAGATTTATTGTAGGACCTAAAAATTTAAAAAAAGATAGTGTAAATGAGCTGTGGTGTCCTTGATGAGGTGAGAAAAATTGCTGCAGATATTTTTTATTGGTGTATTTACTTTTGGTTTTCTTGTTTGATTGACTGACCATGTCGGTGAACTAAATGCGGAACCAACCGAGGTTTCATGGAAAACGTAAAGAAAAAAAAAATCCATACTGTAATGAGGGTAACCATTTGTCTATTTAGGGTGTGAGGTCACAGAAAAGCCACGGTTCCATAACTACATCGCATGGATATCACAGATGTCCATCAAATGTCAGTGAGGCAAAGATCCTTGTCACCTCCTTTATATCTAGTGCCACACACAGTGAACGCTATCTCAAATGTAAATGTTTGAAAACATGAATCCCTCTGTTCAAAGAACGGCGTAAAACAGTGTCACTGTACATGAGGCTGTTGAACTGTTTTAGAACAAAACATCACCAGGTCAGCATTGAGATTGCAGTAGAAATGACGTTGTCTTCTCTGTTGGTTGTCATGGTCAAAAAATATCCACAAGTACCAGCTTACTCATGTGGGGTGATGAATTTCTCAGTTACCTAACTGTCAACTAAAAGAAATGACCGTGCAACTCCATGTCGTGTTACATTAAACTGAGGGCCACACAACACCTTCACTCAAACCCCGGGGGTGACACAGTAGAGTCACTTGTCAGTGTATTTTCATGTGCACTGTTTATTAAATGTTCTCTGACATGAACACACTGCATGCACTGTGTTGTCTTGCCCAGTTTAGGCTCATTAGGCAGTAATTAAAGGAGTGAACATGGTTAGTTTAACTTGATTTAACCGACATGACTTGTGTTACCTGTTTCTGGAAGGATACAGTGTTTCGTGTTGGAGTAGAAATGTCATCATTAAGTCTGAACCACAACATTTATTGTTATTTGTATTTTTTTTTTATATGCGCTTTGAAATAATGACAAATTGAATAAGAATGAAATATTTTATTATTTTTATTAATATAATGTAATGAATGAGTTCAGTTATGTTGTAAATGCTTTTTCAGTGATGCTTGTGGCTCAAATCTTTTAATCAATAATTCAATTTATTCCTTGGGCCATTGTCTACTAGGCCAAACCAAGCAGAAATCACTGCTGGTTGTGTGATTGCAATCCTTAAAAACCACTGAAACCACTTTTGTGTGACATTTTACAACTCATTGTTCAACTCGGATCTAAACCGTTGTCTATAATCGAACACACACTGTATATTTATATTTCCTCCAGTCTGTGTTTGAAATCCCACAGTGTCAGTGTTTGTAGCTCTGACATTGCCTATCATGGATGTTTACACAAACCCAACCATGTTTGCCCAGTGTTTTGTTATTCTGTCACTTTAAGATGAGGTTTTCTAGCACTTGGCCACAACAGAAGTAATGAAAAAAATCTATCATATGAACCAAATCAGAAATTATAGTTTCATACATTCTGACCACTTTAAACATAGAACAGATCACTTGTGGGATCACACTTGTTGCCAGGTTATGAGCAGTGCAACACAACAAAAACCTCCACAATCATGTTTAATTCAACTGCTGAGTTGGTAACTAGCAACGCGAGTTCATGTCACTAAATGATCTTTGCACTTTTAATCAAAATATTATAACATTGTCAGGCTTTACTGCATTCTGCTGGTACAAAGCTGACACAAGCTTTGTACCAGGCTGTTGAGAGTTTGTTTCTCTGTACTGCATTGTGGTGGGCCCGACTGCACCATGCCGCTGTGTGGAGATGTATATAAGGAGGCTATTTTTACTATAAAATTCTAGTGGCATTTAAGAGCTGTACATTCTCCCTCTGTCTATGGTGGAGTCACATCAGTGGATTCTGCTGCCTCTACCCTGGGCCACAAACACCTCCATCTTCTATGACTCTTTATTTGTTTGTAGGATTAGGTTTAAAGCTCTTAAAATCATAATGACTAAATTTTTGTCATTTTCAGGTGGAAAAGGAGCAAAAAAGAGATGGTCTCCCATTGGAAGACAGGTAAGCTCCATCAGAGGTTTAGAAATTTTTTTTTGTCTGTCGTGTCGTCAGTTTCTGTCACGGGGTTACGTTACATGTTTGTGTAATAGTACAGAATCCTTACAAAATCTATAATGCAAATAAGTAAGTAGTGACCTGTAGGAGGCGTCACATACAGTAATTATGAACAAACCATCAAATCCACATTCATGGTGCCGGTCTTTTACACTGTAGGACACATGATGAAAGAAAACACTGTCGATGGATTCAGTATATAACAGGCTGTGGAAAAAAAACAGACTTCGTCCTACTATGTCACCAAAGAATAACTGAGGTCTAGTACAATGAATGTGTTATCCAGCTGAAAAGAAATGTGCTCTAAACATATCTAACAAACTGCAAATTATAGGATGGCTCTGTGAAATGGTTACCGCTCGAGCTGTTGGGGCGAAGCGTTTTTCCCCCAAACAGACAAACGATGTGATATGTTTTCAGGGAAACGTGGTCTCAGTGTTTTCTGTAAAGCCATTTAAAAAGTGTTTTCCTCTCTGTAACTGTGTTGTTTATATTGGTGGGTGAAGGGGTGTGTGTGTGGGATGGAGAGGGTTTGGGGGCGTGTGTTTCAGAGGCACAGAACCAGATTCCTGGCTAATTTTAGAACTCCTTGAAAGAAAAAGGAGTAGAGGTCCCTCTCTCCCAGCTGCATTTGTTTTAACCAAAAAACATTTTGCTTAAAGGATGTTGTTCACAATGAAATATCATGGTAGATTCAACAGCAACTTGAAATGAACTGAGTAATCTGCTACCATTTTTTTTCTTCTGGTGTCACTTGGATCACGTCCTACCCTTGTGTTTGAAGCATAGACCCCAAAATAAGACATGGATGTTGTTGCAAACTAAAGTAATGGGGCCTTGGGTAACGGGAAAAGTAAAAGTTATACAATTTGTCATATAAATCCTTAAGGAAAAGCACATCAGTACATGTTTTAATCACAAGTCAGTAATAAATATTCTTTGACTCGACTGCATTTACACAGTAATAGAACTTTATTAGATGACAACATTTTATGAGATGTCCTGCCAGGCTGTCATGTTGTTATCAAGTTGTTATAAATATGTGAGCAAGTGGTGTGGTTTATCCATGCCAGGACCTCAGCCTCTGCTTATCTCAGACTTTGGATGTTGTAATAGTAAATCTTCCAAATCCACTCCCTTTGAAGAGATACCTCTACAGAACACATTTTCAGTTTTAATTTTATGTTTTGGGATACACCTTGCTTTAGAATCAGGGAGGTAAGAGGCAGAGGAGGCATTCTGATGTTGACCTGTAGACCCTCACAGCTGTGGGCGGCAAGGCCTCTTGTGCCTGGGTTATCAGCTACTTGGCAGACCTGCCATCACTCTCTTCTAGCTGAAACCAGAAGAGCAGGCAGCTGAAGCAAAGGTTAATGGTGTCTCTTTCACAGACAGAAACTTGTGTCTAAAAGACTTCGCTCTTGCTACTGTTTTGTACCTCGTTACCTTCAGTGTGTTTTATTAAAGTCACTGGATCTTTGTAAGACCAACCTCACTAGAAAATGAGGGCAACACCTGCAGTTAGTTTCTGGCCATCTCCAAGTGTGTGTGTGAACAGCAGTTGACCTGACAGTCCCTCTCCTTGTAACCTCTCCCCTGGAGCACGACTGAGGTCACTGTAAAGACCGACTCCGAGCTGGATCCAGAGGATCAAATAGCACCAAACATAACTTGTTATTTTTGTGCTGCGGCAGTGGACAGAACCCTTGGACTCCTGCTCAGTGCTGCTCTTGTTGAAAGACTTCTCACAGAGAGTTTTTCTTCAGAGGAGCAGCTGTTGAATTCAGGGGAGAAACGCTCTTACAGTTACATTTGACAAGGTAATGAACTCCTTCACCTTGAGAAAACACCACAGCAACCGGACACTTTATGAGGACCTGGCTCTACTAACCATAGGTTAATGCTGCTGCTGCCGCTGACGTTTGGACTCAAAAAAAACAAAAACATTCCTGATTAATTGGACCAAGGTTTGATTTGAACCAAAACATTGTTTTATACTTTTTATATTTTACTTAGTATGTCCTAGTATTGACTTGGGGAAAAGGGGGGGGAGGGTCTAGTATTGACTTGGGGAAAAGGGGGGGGGGGGTGGGGAGGGTGTTTTTGAAGCAAAAGTACAACAGACCTTGACTTGGAATGGTATAATTTTTTTAATGCTTGTAGATGAAGAATGATGATGTCATACTTTGGATCGATGACTTGGGGTTTCTCTACGAGTCCCATTTAGGAGAAATACAACAGAAAATAATGTACCCTAAAAACAAAGAACTCTGGCCTCCAACATTTACACTAGACTTACTGTTAACGGTGGCCTCGCAGAACATAATTCAGTTCAGTTTCCTCCTTTTTACACCACTGGTTTCCTGTTAGCAGTTAGACCCCATCTGCATCTAGAACCTCAGTGGAACTAAAACTGAAAACACTGCCTCCAATGATCACTTTCAGCTGCTGTTGAAAATGTTATAAATTATGTGATTTTTTTCTCACTTAAATTACAGCTTATCATTGTATAGACCACTCATGGTTTGAATTTATATGTATATGTAAAATATATATTATTCATGCCTAAATTTAAACAGTCATTATATTATAATCTACTATAAGTCAATAACTTTTAGTTTTTTTACAGCCCTCTGTCAGCCCACATCATCATCATTAATATTACTATATTGTGGGAATAAAGTGAGATAAGCAGAAAAGACTCTGAACTTCACCACCAGTTCCTCATACATATCAACGTCTGTCAGTGGAAGATAACTGTGTTTGCATCTCTCATCAAGGTTTTAATCTTAGAGGTTTTTTTTTTAACCAGTTCATACATTGTTACTGTCATTCAGTGTTAAAAAAAATATATATTTACACCCTTTTCAGCTGTCGCCGCCACCACTGTAATCTGTGTGTTTATATTGTACACCTGCACACATCTTTAAAAAACAAAAATGAATGAAGTACTTGAAGCTACAATCAAATTAGCTTTAATACTAGTACTAGTCACTTGCATAATCAGTTCTCACACCCCCTTATTATTATTATTATTTTTCTACAAATAATTCCAGAACTACTACAAGAATGACTGTGTCTTTGACCTGCAGCCTTGTCTGAAGGTCTGCACTGTCACCACTACATCAACTGTTGGTCTCTCTCTCTCTCTCTCTCTCTCTCTCTCTCTCTGTGTGTTTGCACCGATGACTGCATCAGTCACTTCAGTACAATAGACTCGTTGATGTGGCCACTGTCCACATATAAATTCCTGGGGTGTATACAGTACATGTATGTAACACACAGGTCAGTGTGTGTACGGTTGATGTGTGTGTTTGTGAAGGCCTTTTGAACGAGAGCACGAGATGAAACATAGCATTGTTAGTGTTTGCAAAATACAGCGAGTACTATAGAGTACTATACTTGTAGTACTTACTTCCCGCTTCTCTTGTAATTTTACTTGCTTTGCTCTATGTAGTAGTACACAGTCCATTTGCGTGTTACCAGTCAACTCTGATCATATCAATGCTAACTGTGAATGCAACTGAACTTGATTATATTTTATTTCATTACAACATTCAAATTCCTAATATTTTGAACATGAGTAGTAGGATCTCAAATTGTTGACTTCATCCTGTGTTTCACCATAATTAGGGTGTTTTTTTTCCCCCTCTGTTCACATTTTTCTCACACAGGGCAGATGTAATTACAGTTAACGTTTTTGTAATGTTTCCTCTGCAATGAAAATGGAATTTTGGGGTCAGACGTTTACTTTCATAGCTTTTGGTCGTGGGATTTCACAATTACATTTGCAAGTAAATAACACTCTGACTGATCATAACTCCATTTACAATAAGAGAGATTCTGCCAGTATTTACAAGTGAAGACAAATCCTTAGTCCACCTTAGGCTTTGGTTTGTCAAAGCATTTCTATTTGCTATTAGTCAGAGAGTTTAGTCATGAGTTTTGACGCGCCTTAAAATACATGTTTCCTTGATACAGTCCATGTTTTAAGACTTTGCATACAAGTGCAAAACCTTCTCTTGAAACTACTCATACTAAGATGAAATTATTAGCATCCTCGACCCTAATAGTCAGTTATGTTCTCTTCGTCCTGAATAACAGTCTGCTCTGGTGTCAGCCTCTCCCTTTCTTCCAAACATAGACAACATCTCCACGGCCTGAGAGTTCCAGTTTTGTGTGTCATTTGACCAAATGATAGGCTTCCAGTGTGCGTCATCTTTCTCTGGGTTTTCCTACACATACTTCAGTCTGTTTTAAAGGTGTCTTTTCAGCAGTTTTTTTTTTCTTTTCTTGCCCTGCTGCAACCTCACAGCCCAGTCCACTGCCAGCCTGTGCTGACTGTCATTTTGTGGAAACCTCGTTTCCACATGGAGCAAAGTCTTTCAGTAGTGTCTTAGCAGTTATATATAGATGATGATATAGAAGATGCACATTTTAATTGTTATCCAATAAATTCCATTATGTAAGTCATTTCCGTACACTTCTAGCTAAGTGATTTTTATTGATCGACATGCAGACTTTTGGAATTTGGATTTGTTTAAGAAAAGCAGTTCTCTGGTTTCTATTTTTGCGATCCTTACACAATGAAGGATTTATTTTGAAATACTTTTTACCATGGTACTTTTAGCGTTGGTATTTCAAAGAAATACTTTTTACCATGGTACTTTTAGTGTTGGTATTTCAAAGTTGTTGGTACTTGCTATTTTCTAAAAGGTAAATTTATAAATCGTAAAAATGATGGATATTTCTGTTTACAAATACTTTAAAAACATATTTTTTCAACACAGTCAGTTACAGTTTTGTTGTTTAATATTACAATAGCATAATTTTATTATTACATGGTAAAACAACATGGGTGTAGAGAGTGAGGTGCTGCAGTTCATCATGGATTATCAGCGTATGACTGACGCCTGGTTCCACTTTTGCTTCTTGTTTCATTATTAGACTTTTACTTTTTCAACCAGTGTTGTTCTGCTTGGTTGCTCGTTTTTGTCTCACAACACCTTTCACTCTTGTTTCCATGCACATGAACATATAAGTTGACACAGAATAGCCACAGATAAGCATTTTTACAGGCACCGTTGTTTCCCTAAATGCTTTACACAGGATGTTTCAACTAAGTTTGTAATAAAAGTGAAACAGAATGAAAGAAGAACTAAGTTTGTAATAAAAGTGAAACAGTAGAGAATGAAAGAAACTGCTGACACTGAATACAGTATTTAGTATTTTTGTGGTTTTTTCCCCCCACTGCTCTGTGGCTTAATTAACAATGAATCAATAAGAACCTCAACATAGTAGCTCTGCTGCTAAAAAAAATACTTCCCCTGAGACTTCATGTTCCCATTGAACTTGTATGTTATCTCATGCTCTACCTTGGATTTTCATGTTGCTTTTTGTGCTTTTCATTTATTTTATTTTTTTTAATATTATTTATTTTTTGGTTTCCACCAGCTCCTCTCCATATTCACATGAGAATGGGAGACCCTTACATTTTCAGCCACCAGTGTTGGACTTTGGGACCCAGTAAGTAAAGCTCTCTGTGTGATACGACGTGTCTTGACAAGCTGAGCTCCGACTCAATTCCGTATCAAGTCAAGTCAAGTCATTTTAATTTATAACTCCACATTATAACATAACATATCCTGCGGCACTTTCCTTCTATGGGTGTTCTGGACGCTGATGTACATTATTGTTTACAGCAGGTCAACATTCACCCATATAGGGAAAATGGAGAGTCACTGCAGCATGACATTCTCCTCAGAGGGAGGAGCTAAGTGAGAGAGAAAGCAGCAGGAAGGGGGAGGGGTGTACAGTATAATAATAAACACATTTAACCACTGTGACTAGACAGGACTGTGTCACATCTGCTTGTGTGTTTCCAAATATTGGTTGGTATACAGGGTATATTAGGATGACATACCATACGGTTTATTTATATCTCTATATATGTGCACATATATAAATACATTTATATATTTAATTTTAAGTGCCATACGTATTTGTGTGCACTCAAACAAAGCAGCTGAATATTTTTTTTAATCTCTCCATAACATCTAAAAATCAACCATCTAAACAATGCTAAACCAACAACTTCTTAGAACCCGTTCAGCAAAAAGAAAGCCATAAAGAAAATATAGAAGAAAATATAACAGGGCCGTTAAATGGATTGCGTAGTACTGTATTATCCAAAGACTGAAAGTGAAGTTACTGCCTTTCCCTGCAGTTCTGGACAATAATTCTATAATTACTTTAAATCGTGGACACACACTGGCTCCGTGGAGTTAATGCTCCTTGATGCAGTGAGCTTGTGTTTTAACCTCAGACATAATACTTCAATCTTCCGCAGTCAGGTATGAGCAGCAAGTGTAAATCCAAAAGCAAATCCTAGTAATTTAGTTAGGTTTTTGTTTATATATTGTTCAGAGAATACGTGACATCACAAGACAGATGACACAAGTTCTAACTAATTAAAATATTACTAAACCAGTGGTTGTTTTAAGGATTTGAAGCGTTATCGGCTGCATTAATATATGAGGTCATCTCGGTAAGGTATGAGGTAAAATTCGTCACGGCCTCTTGTCAACCTTTAATGCTACTATGTATGTCTTTGGATACGATAACAAAACAAAAATAATGGATATAATAATGGCCAATAAAATAGTAGAATACCAATGAAAACTTAAAGATTTTATAAACATGAATGACTGATATTTTGTCGACTTAAACTCAAGTAAAATTAAGCTGATTTAATTGAATAAAATGGGACAGGAACTAAGTTAGTATTGAGTCGAAAGGTTAAGACTGCGTGAAAATGTGTCTGTCAAATTTAACTCAAGGTGGAAGAATCTACTGCTTTGACACTTGAGCGTGTTCCTTTTTAGCTGCTTTCCCAGTATAAGCTTAGTGGTGCCATGTTATTTATGCCCCTGTGCTATTTGTCTTTACAGACCACTGGGCCTGCCAAGAGCTGAGACCATATATATACACAACCCCAGCCAGGAAGTTCCTGTGACACTGCTGTCAATGTTTACATCCAGCAGACATTTTTACATACCTTCCTTTCACAGAAGAGTAAGTATCCACCTGCCTCCAACAGGATATTCACCGTTGACATTCATTGTCATTTTGCTTTAAACCCGTCTTTTTTTTTTTAATTTCTTCCCGCATTAACAGATTATCCCACCCAGAGGGAAGGCATCTTTTAAACTTATTTTCCTCCCGTCTGAGGAGGCCACTGTAGAAAACACATTATTTATAAACACATCAGCCCATGGGCTTCATTCATACCAGGTCAGTTCCATCAGTGCACATCCTACTCCTCTCTCTCAGACCATGTTTTTATTACTGTCTTTCCACATATGCTGCATACAAGTATTTATTTACAGCCTCAGCGTAGGAAGAACATTACAGCTGTTTAAAAAGGCAGCCTGACCTGTTGTTTCAGCCTAACTAGTTTTTGTGTTAGCTTAACTTATTCCATCACCTTTTTAATATTAAAATGACAGAAATGTGGTGTTCATTTCCAAATAATTATGTTTTTTATTGTTAATTATTATGTATGTCTATTACCAAAAAATATCCGGATATGACGTCAACAGACTTTAATGTCCATCCAGTGTTTTTTCCTCTTTAGCCTTTTTTTAATATTAAAAACATATTCAATATTTTTTAATTCCTAGTTTTCACTCGTTTCTAAAAAAAATATTATCTGATAATTGTTTCACATTGCACTGACCTGTTTTGACCTGTGCACAATATTGGCATAATATGTTGATTCAGTGGTGAAGTACTAGGTAAAATACGTGTGTCCTTCATTCAGCTCCAGTTCAACTGAATCAAAACTGCTGATCTGTTACCATATTAACTGTTTCTAATGTCATCCAGAAAGTTCATCAGTGTAAACTCTTGTCTTTTCTTCCAGCTCTTTGGTGTGGGAGTTCACCGGGGCTCGTTAAAGTCTGTCCAGAGAAAGGACAGTCTGCTAATATTCCCTCATATCCAGAGCATTAAGCTGACCCAAACTCAGGTATGTGTCTACATGTAGGCCTTTTGTTTTATGGATGCCGTTCAGCTAAGTTAATAAGCGCTCATCATTGGAAACAGCTGATTTCCTTTCCTGCCTGCTCTGATAAACAAGAACAGTTGCTCCCCTGATATGCAGAAAACATTTTGTGGTTATAAAGAATATAAATGTTTTTTCAGCCTGAGGGAGACGTGTCATTTATTTCCACGGGAAAATACAAATGTTCAGTGTGGAGATTTTCCCTTGTAAATACAAGTGTATTTAAAAAAAAACTCCATTTAAGGCAGTGAAAGTGTTCAAGAAGGTAGTGAGAGAGCGGGTCACGCCTCCACAACAGGAAGTGGGGCGGCAGTTGCTAAATGTCATCTTGGCCAAGTGCAGAGAAGCTGTAGTTAAAAAATCACTGTTGTCAGATGCTGAATTCATAGTATTTAGGGGTATTTGTTTGTTTAGAAAACCCACCGGAAATGTGGCGTTTTGAGTTTGGATTTGTGAAAGAGTTCTGATCCAAACCAAACGTTTCTGGTCAGAAATTGTATGTGTTACCCTGAGGCCACACTGCATATAGTCTTGTGCAAAGCATCAGGATACTTAAAGTCAGATGCATGCGCAGTGAGAACTGTGTTACCTAACAGAAGATGTGCTCTGCAGGAATCTTTCTTTTTTTTTTTCAGTTAGATTTTGAAAGGTGAATAGGACATTAAAGCTTTTTTGTTTTGTGTTCTCTTTAAACATTAGTTCATCTGTATCCTGGAGTTGAAATATAAGAAAAACATCTCATAATCGACATTTAAACTGCAGACACAGGCTGCAGGGTCAATGAGTTGGACATGAATCACGTTTCTAGAGTAACAGCGAGAGCAAATGAAAAACCACAGTTAGCTCAACATTGGACTAAATATAGAAATTGCACACAGCCTGAGACCAAACACGTGGATTTTATTTATTTATTTATTCTGTGCTTGAATGCACAATAAATATTTAACACTGCGAGCTAGTGTTGAAGTCTCTAAGTAAGTCCTGACCACTATCTATAAGTGGGGTTAAAGAAGGACCAGGTGTCAGTTTTAGGAAAACCTCTGGTAAACTAACAGCTGAGTATTCCTATATTTAGCTGACAACGCTGGTGCTAATGAAAAACCTTTATAACTTCCTTTACCCCAGCTGCCTTTTTAGCTGACATTCATTGTTACGTAACTGAGAGTCTGTCACACAGATTTGAAAGGTCTGTTCACCATCAAATATACAGTAGTCAAGCCTGTGTTGTAATGATATTTAATGAGTGTTTTTTATGGACTGAGAGAGAGAATTAACCTTTTTTTTATCTTGCAGGAAGATGCATCTAATATCACTATACTGGGTTTACTCCTGGAGTGCACCATCCCCAAGAGTTTGTTCAACAATCCTCGGGTATGTAAGGCTCTCCTAGTTCAGCATTGGTACAATGGAAAAGAATGAACATGTGTGTCTGTAAACTGTATTTTTCTCATCAGAGAAACGTATCAACATTGTTGTTGGTTCGTAAAAAATATGAATGCTGTTCTTAAATATGAGAGCCTTGTGTCCGCATTCAAAGTCCTCAGTCCATTCGATGCTCGCCTCTGGTACAGATGTCAGAGAGCACTGACAAATGTACAGCATGGTTTAATGTTATGCTAATGAATTTGCAGCCTCACTTAGAAATATTCTACAGCAGCCACACATTGAAATTACATTGTCTCAGCTTTTTTTTATGCACTAGCTGCACAATGACTTTGTGGGAGCAGGTGATAAAACTGCCCTCACTGTGCAGCGCAATGAAGCAGGCCATAACTGCAGCAAAATAATGTAATAAACACCCATCTCTAAGACAAGAAGAATTGTTCAGTCCAGCTGCTTCACTGAACCTCTCTAAGGAAAGTGCAAAATTGATGGTTGTAATGGTTTCGATTTTGTTTTTGTTTTTTTTTGTTTTTTTTCCTTGAACGGTTGCTCACACATAGTAGTTTAACCATGACCGTACTGTAATTCTTTCTGACAAATGAGGCTGCAGGAGCACAGAGAGTCAACAAAACACAATGACATTGCTTGTGTTAATTTTACTGCCCAATACTGTCACATTTAAAAAGAATTAAATTATAAATATTTTGACAGCATCGTTTAAATAAAACAGCCATTAATAAAATAAAGGAAACACAGTCCTGCTTGTCCAACGTCTCAGTTCAAAGAAAGTTCTTTAAGTCATACTTTCTGAAAACACTGGCCTGAGCAGAAGTGGGTTCTGTCTATAAATACAACTTCCCTTTTTTTCTTCTTCTAACTTCTAATAAGGGTGGGGTATGTTTTGTTTTGTTAAGACTAATCAATCATTGGCCCTGTGCTGCCTGCCGGTGCTTTATATGGTACAGTGTTGGTTGGTTTATGAGACAGATGCCGACAACCCTGACCGTGTATGTTGTCGTGTGAAAACTCAAAACCCTAACCTTCAGACTTCAAGCTTATGTCCGGGATCACACATCTAACCTTCAGACTTCAAGCTTATGTCCAGGATGAACACTTCCCTTCTAGTTATTTCTCATGGTTTCACAAAAGTGTAAATTGTCCTGTGTGCAGCGTTGACTGTACACTCAGATATGGTTTTTAAAGTAATATGAGCCATATCATTGGTTCGGGGGGATTAGGTTTGCTTATCAGGCCCTCAGCCTTGGTGGCAGTCGGCCAGAGCTTCTGTCTGCGCATCAGGTTGTGATGTGATGATTCTCACACTGAGGCAAGCCCTACTTTTCACGAGAGATTTGCACCGTCTTTCCACTAATCTGTCACTCTCAGGAGTGTGTTAGTCACTGAATGGGTGCCACCCTCAGGTTGAAACCCTTCCCTTACAGACAGATAGAGCAAGTGCTCAGGGGCTAAAATGAAACATTTCCAGCCATGTGTTTTTGTCTGATCCGTGACCAGTTTTCCACTCCTGTCCCATCTCAGGGGTCCTGCCTCCAGAACGAGGAGCACCTCAGTCTCCAGATCAATCTGTCAGTGCATGGTGACCGACCAGCTGACCTTGACAAGCTCAAGCCTTACGTCATTGAGCACATACTCGTGCTGCTGGTGGCCCCCACTGCTGGAAAGGCTGCAGTAGGTGGGTGTTTTTGAGCCTTTTGATCCGTGCGATACAATGAATTAAGCAGAAAAACGTTGTCAGCTGCAAAAACATGAATAGAAGATGTGGATGAAGGTATTGTTTTATGTTTATTAAAACCTGCTCCGTTGTGGTTGTTGTGTCATATCCTCGTATCCTGATTTTGTTGCATAACATTTTGCTGATTGTGTGATGCATTATTGATATGATATTTTTGCGCAACTGGTCATTTGAAAATTTTATTTCCTTTTTTGAAGGAGTGTTTCTGCCTTCATGTAAGCAAGATTTTCATGAAGGTTTTGCACGTATTTTAGGATAACTTATTGCAGTTTGACAAAAAAGTGCTTTATTTGACATGTGCATTTGGTTCCCAAAGTGTTCATTTTTTTTCCCTTTTTATCAACAGGAGAACCCAAAATAGGAGTTTATATGTTAAATTCTGGAGCCAAGAAGCTCTATGTAAAGGTCGGTGTTATTAATGTATTTATTAGTTTTATTATTTAATTTCTAAAGATACATCTGTTTTTACACAAGGTGTCTTGATCTCCACAGGATGTGCAGGTTCTATCAAAGGTGGAGGTCAACCTGGAATTCAATCAAGTTCCTCTCAGACCAGAAGCAAAAAACCTCAGTGAAGTTGCTACTCTGACCTGCAGAGGTAAACATTATAGTTGATCCCTGAAGTGTGATTGTTGTAAAACCTTTCTGACACTTTTTTCCACTTCTATGTACGTTATAAATTCCTATGGACTAAAATATTTTTTAATTTTATTTTTTGTCAGGATCTTTGCCGGGCCAAGGCAGGAAATGCATAAATCTTATCAATTTAAAAATTTTGGGAAACAGAACAACACGTGGATTCCCTGGGTTAGAGGTCACACACAGGTAATTTAAAAACAAGATGGGATTTTTTTTTTACTTTAACTGTCAACATTATTAACATGGTTGAATGTGTTGCCTGTTGTGTTTAATCAGCCTGATTGAGATGAAGCAAAGTGCAGCAGACCAGGTGGATCTGTGGCTGACCAACACACTCATGCTGCCTCTTACTGTGATGAACGTCAGCCTCTCTCAGAAGCTGCGGGGTGTGATGAAGGTATGCTCCATCACATCATAAAACGAGAGGATGTTCAACAGTGAACTACGTTTCAGTTTGTAAGGAGTTTCTGTTCAGGATGTGGGCGCAGCGGAGAAGATCTGACAGCTGTGTCTCTGACGTTAACAGGTGGTGAACTTCAGTGGTCCGCTCACAGTTCCTCAAGGCTGCTGGCAGATCCTGTCCCTCAAACAGCTGACTAAGGCTCTGCCTGTTAGTCTTCTGTCCACGCTGAGGCTGGAGACGAGTTTAGGGTCACCACTGAATGTTCCCCTCCTTTTTCAATCTACTCCTTCCAAAGTAAGCTGCTCTCATTATACCCATGCTGACTGTACATTGTACTAGAGAAGAGATTTTTCCAAGTGGACATGTTTGTTCTTTTCTCAGGTGGGACACATTATGTTGGAGGCAGAGCGAGAGTGTGGGCGTCCTTGCCATCTTAGGCTGTCTGAAACAGGTAGCATATGGGACCTGTCGTTTCTCCTCAAAGTAAAAGAAAATGATAACACTTAACTCTAAAGGATTTGAACTCTTTAATCACCAGGGCGAGTGGAGTGGCAGCGTTCCCTCCTGCCAGACTTTTCCTCTACATCCTGGGCTGTGGACAGCAAACTAGCTGTTGAACTCTGCTCTGAATGGCAGAGCTACAAGGACAAACTTCCTTGCAGGTTAGCATCAGATATAGGAAACTGCTTGAGCTTTTATGTCACGAGAATTCCTAAAGCAGGTCATGACGAAACATAGTTCTTTCAGATGGCCCAGACTCCCCGTAGAGACATCTGCTCCTCTGGATTTTGGTCCAACACCTGTTAACGAAAGCAAGGTGGGCTGCTGTGGGAGGTTATCTAACAACATAATGTTGTATTTTTAAGGATAAAGACATAAACACTCTGTTGTATGTTTTAGGCAAAGACCTTTATGCTGAAGAATCCGTCTTCTTCAGTCGTGTCTGTGGAAATTCGCCTCCTCTCCCTGTATCCGGCTCCTATAGAGGCTCTGGATCTCCTCACCAAATGGTGCGCTGACACTGTTTTCTGCTGCAGTAAATAAAGACAACAACACTGAGGCAGATTGCTAGAATACTTTTTTTTTTACAACTCTTTTTCTTTGGCAGGTTTAATATCAGCCCGCTTTCCGTCAACATCAGCACCAGAGAGTTTTCTCTTTTCGCTTCTCCGCTCAAGGTAGATTACTGAGAAGAGTTGTGACATCTGTGTCCGCTCAAGGTAGATTACTGAGAAGAGCTGAAGTTGTGGCATCTGTCATTTTATTTTTATTCCATTATTTGATTACTGTCATTTTTGTTTTTAATACTTTTGTGTCTGTGTGTCTGTCTTCAGGCAGGTGAGAGTGTGGAGCGAGCGACAAGGCAGGGTGTGTTACGTCTGCTGCTGCAGCCCTGGGAGTCCAGAGAAGTCTCTGTGGTCTTCACGCCCTCTGAACACAAACCCACCACTACTATTCTTATTATCAGGTAATGATTCACTTCAGTTACATTAGTGACTTTAATCAGTGATTAACAGAAAGCTTAGTGGTTAACAGAACTTTAATGTTCACACCAAAATTTGCTTCTGATCTTTGCAGGAACAACTTAACCGTGTTTGATATGGTGATGGTAAAAGGCCACGGTGCCAAAGAGCTGCTCAGAGTTGGAGGTAAATTACCTGGCCTCGGAGCTTCACTGCGCTTTAACGTTCCCCAATCAACCCTAATGGAGTGCCGTGATGGTACGATCTGTATTCATGTTTTTTTTGTTTTTTTTTTATGAATAATTTCTGCGATATTATTGTTCTGATTTAGTGGTTGGCAATCATTCTACGTGTTTTGCAGGTCTGCGTACAAACAAGCCACTTTTTGCCATCAGAAAAAGTTTTAAAGTAGAGAATGCAGGAGAGCTGCCTCTGACCGTCATGTCCATGAATATAAATGGATACAAGTGTCAGGGGTTTGGCTTTGAGGTTCTACAGTGTCGCTCCTTCAGCCTGGACCACAACAGCTCAGCTGAGCTCACGATCGCGTAAGTGCAGTGTTGGTCTACTGCAGTACTTCTCACCCCCTGTGGGGGTGCGGTGAGGTGCCAGGTGTGGTGTGAGGGGCTTCCAATGGAATATGGCACAGTGGACATAAGTGTACCACTGCTGTAATGCTTGAACGATAACAAGCCTCCAGTCACTAGGTGGCAGCAACTCAGAGTGGTTTGTACAGATAAAAATATACATGTTCTCAGGCATTCTATAGTATTTCAATTTGTGGGCGGTGTGGGTCGGGAGCTGGGGCGGGGCGAAAATATTTCTGTCCCCAATGTCTCAATGCTTATGCGTTATGTTTCCTACAGGTTCACTCCAGACTTTACTTCGTCCTGGGTGATACGGGACCTCACCCTGGTCACGTCTCGCGGCACCTCTTTCACTTTTACCCTCAACGTGACGCTTCCCCACCACATGTTGCCTCTCTGTGCTCAGGTGGTTCCTGGACCGAGCTGGGAGGAAACCTTCTGGGTCATCACTCTCATCTTTACATGGTCAGTACCTCTCAGGTTTTCTTCCATCAATCTGATATAACAAAAGTACTGCCTTTATATATATTTAAAAAAATATATATATGTTTTTTTTTCTTCTTTGTAGCTTTTCGCTGTTTGGTGTGTGTTTGATGGCCTTCCATCAGGCTCAGTATATTCTGAGTGAGTTCTCCTCAGCCAGCATCAGAAGCAGCCACAACTCTGTCCTGTCCCGGGACAACAGCTCTGTCAACAATATCACTCCAAATGGAGTCAAGTACGTCCAGACCTTCTTAAGTCATTCTCATACAACCTGGCACTTTTTCTCTTAAGATTAATTGAATATTTTTGTGTGTGTGTGTTTTTATGCAGTAAAACAAAGGGAAGTTGCAAGAGTTATGTGGACACCTGTCACACCTCTGATAAAGGTAAGGGGCGTGGCTCTCCAGCCTTGGCTAATAGCGCCGCCCCACGGCCTCAGTCTGCAAAGAAAGGGTCTTCAACTACCCAATCCCAGCCTCAAAAGAAACACAAGGTTTCCCTCTATTACACCAAATACAAGTCCAGTCCAATGACGGCAGCACCAGGTGCTGTGACAATGGATGAAGATAACGAGGATTTGACCCCTGATGCCCCTCTTACCCCAGACTCTGATGTTTGCAACAACAACATACCGGCCTTCATTAGTGAAATAGACAAAAAGATGTCAGCAGACTTCAGAGAAGAAACCCAAAGCGCAATGGAAGATCAGAGGCCTGCAGTTATGTTTCCCATGGAAATGCCTGCTGGCTTCCCAGATAAGGTCACTTTAAGTCCAGGACCTAAACCAGGTCTCATAGTGTGCAGTCCTGTGGAGCCCATCGCTGAAAAAAGGGAATGTTCTGAAGTAGAGGTGAGGATTACAGGAGAAGTAATGTAATGTATTCTAATTTATGCACACACAAAAAACACTTATAAGATGTAAAATAACGGATAAAAACAATGTCATGATCTGTTTTTACTCCAGTTCAGAGACTACGGTAAAGGCCAGAAAAAGAAAGCACAAGGCCCAGAGTCAGTGACTGCAGCAGGAAATAACAAGGGAAAGATGAGTCGCAGGAAGATAGCAAATAACTCCATAAACTTCATTACTTCATAGTGGTTTAAGGACACAGCAAACACGTTAATGAGACTCCAGTGTTTGTTTTTTTTTGTTTTGTTTGTTTTTTCTAACTTCTAATATGTTTTTACGACAACAGCCCTCCAGAGCACAACGTGCTCATAATGTCAGAGAGAGAAAAAGAGCCCGAGTGGAAAACAGGGGACCATAACAGCAGTGGAACACGGAGCAGGAACCACTGCTGCAACAGTTCCAAGACAGAAATGCCAAAGCCTCTGCGTAGCGATGAGAGTCCTCTCAAACTAAACGGTTTGAAACTAACAATTTTCTCTCTCGTTCTGTTAAATGTTTAGGCTCATCGCTAACTTATACTATTGTCACTATTTGTCACACAGGTGTGTGTCCGGCCCGTGCTCGTAGAAAGTGCGCCACAGAGCGACGTGGTGGTGTGTGTGAGTCTGGCTCAGACTCCGGCAGTTCAACAGGCAGTGTGAGGGCCAGTAGAGGGAGCCGTGGCAGCTGGAGCAGTGCCAGCAGCATGGAGGGCGACAAGGATCCGAGTTCAAAGATGCACGCCTGCACTACCTCATCTAGAAAAAGTAATTTTTAAAATTTTTATTAAAATTTATATATTTTTTGTTATATTATATACATATATTATTCTACATATATGCATTGTACCAACTTTAAATATCATTGTTACATCT